ATCTTAACAATAATGATTTTATTTGTTATAAAACATGCAAACGTTTAGCCAAGACTGTAGTTAGTAATGAGCTGTAGTAAGATATTTTTTCCTTTCGCTTATTACACTTTTTTTTATTGACACATTTAAACAAGCACTCCTCGTCTTCTTTTATGTTAGGATATCGCAACAAGTGTTCTAACATTGATAAAAATGCAACAATGAAAATAATATTTTACAGAATTTAAATGCATAGAGTAATAGTGTTAAAAATGATGGTATTAAATATAATGAGATCATTATGTTTTTGGGGGCTTTTAAAAATAATATTCAGTTTTTGCTAGATTATTTGGGGAGAAGCATTATATTTCATTTATATTGATGTGATTTAAACAAAGAATTTGGTTTTGATTCTACAGTTACAGGAGTAAGCTGACCTGTTGGCAATAGAAAGTTGTTTTTGCATCTGGTGATTGAAAGTAAATAAATAAAATCCTGTAAACAATCTTTTCAGCAAATTATCTTTTTTTTTCTTTTAACACTCACTACTGCTTGAGGTGTTATACAGCTCGCGAATTTACCTAAGGGCAGACAGTTAGGGCCTGCTAACTGGAGGTTGAAGTATACTCAATCACGGATTGTTTTATTTCTCCCCGAACTCTGATCGAGTTCGTCGCACAGAAGGAGACAATACACAAATAAATAACTGAAGCTAAACTATATCACGTATTGAAAAACTCAAAACAGACACAATACAAAACAATACACAAAAGCAAGTGTGTTTAGTGGTTGTATTGAACTAGCAAAAGATATGTGAAAAACAAAAAACTTTTAATAGTTTCTCTTACAAATTCAGCGTGTTCCATCTTGTAAGTTACACTTAACGTAGAATACAATGAAAAATAACTCTGACAATTTAAATCAAAATTCAAAACAAAATAAAACAATCCAAATCTAACTTCCGTGGAAGTTAAGGTCTACTACAATATAATATTACTTTAAGAAAAATGTCACTAAAAAACAACATTAAAGTGAAAGTTGAATCTAATAACGCTACTACATAGTTAATTCAGCCCTAGAAAGTCCTAAAAGTACAATTCTAAAGGTAAAGTCCTTAAAAACTCTCATAGTTATGCTAACTCGGAGAAGATCTGGCTTGTTAAATAAACTACACGAACATCACACAAATACAGGCTTAGCCATGACTTTACTTTGCATAAGCCACGTTCATCCGCTGCGTTTTGAGCGCAACGGCGTGGCAGTCCCTAGCTATTAAGCATTATCCGATTTACTAACAAGAAAAATAATCGTCTTTCGAACAAATTTAAGAGTTATTTTTCCTGTAAGTAAACACGAATAATTGAAAATAGTGAATTCACATGCCGGGTGCTGGAGAAAGTTGAGTGAATTACTTGAGGGACACTCTGGTCCTGGTTGTCAACTTATTGTCATAACATATAATGTCAGTGGTAATAGCACCCAAGTACATTGTGTATATCCCATCTATCAGACAGTATCCAAACGCCGATGTTAATCTAGTCAGCTGTCATGGAAAATCATCAATCAAATAAAGGTACGAAGCTGAGTGGTTACATCTCAACTTCTACTGCCTTTCACTGTCTATAGCCGTACCACAACCGTCAAATTATACTATTCGGTTAGACAAGAATTACCATTGAGTGCTTTGACTAGCTGCCTTCCCTCTAGTCTATCAGTTCAAAATTTGGGACGGCTAGTGCAGAAAGTCCTTGAGTAGCCTAGTGTGAACATCCAAAAATAAAATATCAGTTGAAATTCTAAGATAGGAGAAAAGGATATTGTTTTGGTTTAAATTTTACATTTATACTCAATATTTTACAACATTAGGTATAATCCTTTCAGAACATAAAAAACAACAAATAACTAACATTTAGCTACATAATGCCATGCTGTTTAAGAATATTCTGAGACTATCAATCAATTAATTTATTTTGCTGTACATTTTCCCATAATATCACCAATTTTTACAATATTTATCACTTATGAAGCACAAAGTATTGTGTAGTTTGTGCTTAACATCAATCAAACTAGAAATGTAATTACAAAACAATACGAGATATAATACAGAGTGAATATAATAGAGAAACCGTAAATATTTCCTCAACAGTAGTAGTGGTTCTCTATCACGAAGTTTAACAAAAGTAATCACTGTTAAACTTACATTAGAAATTTAACTCAAAGCGACTTTTTATCTCATGATCTCATACAAACCGTCCAGTAATGGATTGAGGACCAACAAGAAATGTCATTTCAGAAGAACATAAAAGGCTTAGAGCACTGTTGGTACAAGTTTATAGACTCAGGAGGAGATTATGTTGAAAAATAATCCATAGTTGAACCAGTATCTCTTTTCTTTATAGGTCGAGCAACGAAGTTTTCGGACAACCCTCTTAAATCAATCTTATTGAAATAATGTTTACATAAAACATGATTATTCGTCACCTGTGCTCTGACATTACCACTTATATCTGTAAAGTTGTGACGATTAAATTGTATAACCTGATGGTTGTAGCTATTGCTCTCTATTCGTTTGATTGGGAAATGTATTGAAAAATGTACATTTATGTTTCCACGAAAGTTCCAACCCAAATACAAAATCCTAATTTGTTTTCTTAGAATTAGGTATGAATTTAGAATAAAGTTTTTATTTGTTCACGATGAATGGAATAGAGATCGTGCAATATTCAGTGATTTAAAAATTACCTGTTTCAATATTATTAATAAAAATATAAATTAAACGAGCACTTGTATTTATTTATACGATATACCAGTGACAAATGTTTGATAAATCAGTTTTATATTAAGATTTTGCAGCTAGTTGTGAGGTAATTGTAGGACAAGACGGTCATATGGAATGAAATAAACTTTTGCCTCACTTTTCCACCTGAATGACCCACTAGCATGTTACCTGCATAATTATTTACTAGGAAGAGTCGCGCTGTATGAAATACTTGCCTTTAAGATACTTCCAAGAACTTTTTAATTAAATATTTAAAGCTGAAGTGTTGTACAAACGCTTTATGATCGCATTTACAATGGTACATTTATTTACATACATAACTACTTTAAAGACAATACAACTTAACAGATTTTAAAATTTATGAAAGGGAAAAAGTGTCCCTAGTTGTAGGATGGAAAATATAATATTTGCATTTTGATTCAACTTGTTTCTGTACTTTTTGTCGATCCCTATTTAAATTAACAATTTTTAATTACCTTGTAACGTTTATTTAGCAATAATTGTTTTTGTCGCATTTGTTACATGCTGTTATTAAGTAACAAAGCATAAAACTTTGTTAATTTTTATGACCTTGTCGTTAGAAAGTTTGCTTTGGTATTCGTGAATTATTGTATTTAATTTTTTACTCCATTCAGAAGCCCCCAAGTGGCACAGCAGTATGTCTGCGGACTTACAACGCTAGAATTCGGGTTTCGATACCCGTGGTGGGCAGAGCACAGATAGCCCATTGTGTAGCTTTGTGCTTAATTACAAACAAACAAATCCATTCAGAATTTGATATTGTTAACCTAAATGGCAAATTATGTAACTCATTGGCTAAATGGTCAGGTATAAGACTTCAAAATTTAGTCAAACCCATTCCTAATTTAGAACTACTGTCTAGAGGGAGGCCAATCAGTCAGTAACATCCACCGCCTACAAGGCTACTCGTAAACGAATAATGAGAACTACTGTTAATTTTTCAAGTGCCCTTAGTTGAAAGTCCTGAATGTGTTGCGCTGTGTAATTATACAAACATTTGAAAAGTGCTTATTTATTCGTTATTGACATATCTCAATAGAAATAAGTTTTTAAAATTTATTTTTGATTTAAGAGTATGTGTTGATTCTTACATATTCAACCAACGATTTCTGGTTTATGTTGAATGTTGCTTATGTTATACTTTATGCAATAATATTAATATTTTATAATAAATTCTGAAACTCTACTCAGTGAGAAAAGTGACTAATGTAGAGCTGTAATACTTCTTATTCTTGAATACTTAAAATATGAATTAAGTTCATTAAGACGATGAATAAGGAGCGTAAATTAGGAAATTATCCATACATCAATATATTACAGCACAATTAAAGACCATCTATCATTTACAATAATGTATATTGTGCCAGTAAGATTTTACCAATAATTTTGATTTTTTAAAGAATTTTAGTTTTCAATATTTTCTCTTTATTTTGTTGATAAGTGTTTATGGGAACGTGAATAAGCTTGGTCTCCCTTTATCTAATTAGAGATCAGGATAATGTAGAATTAATATATTCCTCTAGGCCATAATGTCTTTTTCTAATGCACGCGAACTGCGAAACTGGCTCACGTCAGCAAGTAGCCCGTTAAATATCTTTATACGCTAATATTCCTGCATTCTATTCGATGTGACAGCTAAGTAGAGGACCAACCAGCAGCTTGATTCTCCCCTGACGTTGGTGTTTCTTGCAAAGCTTAAGTAATATGAAGCCTGCTTTCTAAGTCTAATAAGACGATTTATTTATAGAAAACCAACATTCAGACCTCGTTAATAATTTTAAAGCATTTTAAAGTTAGCTGTAGAACAGATTCGACAACTATTTGCAGCATCCAGGTGTCTAGTGTTTCATAGTTATTATTTACATCTTATAAACGTGAGTATCCAAAACGTTTTTCGACTTTAGAGTTTATGTTTTCACGCGAAATTGATGCAACTAATGTGTTGGATACTGCATTTTTTGGTTCCTGTTTAATGTGAGTTTATTTCTTTATAAATCTCGACCATCTGTTGAAACCACAATTCTATAAACTACTCAGAGTTATTGTATTTATAAGTCGTTTGCATCAGAGGTTAAATGTCACTAACAGCTGCTAAATATTTGACAGGATCTCTGTGTTTATAAGGTAAACAGCCAAGATTTTAATTTTCAATAAAGGACAAATTTAGATGTTTTCATCTCGGTCAACAACTGCTTTATGAAAACTAAATATCGCCCAGCGTTGTTCTTTTCTTAACTGAAAAAACTGGTGCGTTTCAATGTTAGATGTTAACTTCAAAGAGATTTAATCTTCTAGTGGACGAACAAATAGGCAGTGGAGGAGTTCAATGTAACTCGTTGAGAGATCAACTATTTACATCCGGATATTCAATACTTGAAAGTAAGTACAAACGAGAATATTATGTTTTATTTATCATTATATCTATAAAATTAACTTCTGAAAAGAAATATAATTAAACTTTTTTCAGTGTATGTAAACGTGGGTTATCATTAAGGAAAAACTAAAGTAATACAGTGGGCAACTTAACTCACTGTATAAATAAATAGTGTATTTGAAAACAAAAACAAATAGGTTAGAGCCAGAGGTCGTCAATAAGCATGTTGCCTGTAAGTGCACCATATCTGTGTCAACGGCAGAATTAAAGGAAGGGCCTCTTCCAACATCAAATTGGTAGTCGATTTATTTTCTATCGAAAAATAGAGTATAACATTTGTTTACAAGAATGACACAAAAATACAGCTTTGATTGATGTAGGTTTGAAATCCCTCCCAGTGGCACAGCAGTATGTCTGCGGACTTACAATGCTCGAAACCGGGTTTCGATACCCGTGGTGGGCAGAGCATAGATAGCCCATTGTGTAGCTGTGTGCTTAGCTTCAAACTAAAGGAATTAAATATTAATTTCTGTATAGAATAATTAGTTTAGTGAAGTTTAATTTAGTACTATTGGTTTGTTAAAATTTTTCCAATACGTTTTCCAGTGCTTAGTAGGATCGCAAAGACTTACAAAATTGAGTTGTACAAAAATTATGTAAATCTTCGCTAATTACTTATGATTAATTACAATATTGTATTCTATAAAAACATAGAAATATTACATTTCATTCTACGTTACGGCCAGTCAAAGTATTAACTGCATTGTAAAAACATTAGATCAATAATTAATATTTATGTATTGCTACCGATGACACATTAACTTCATAGTAATAATAGTAGTAATATTAATCTCTTCTCTAAGGTTTTGAGAAATATAATTGTTAGTTTTAGAAAATCTGTCTTAAAAACATATTTCACACGATTTGAATAAAAAACACATTCAGGTGGTTAGGGCGCTCGACTCGCAATCTGAGGGTCGCGGGATCGAATCTCCGTCCTGCCAAACATGCTCGCCATTTCAGCCATTGGGGCACTATGTTATGTTACGGTCAATCCCACTATTCGTTGGTAAAAGAGTAGCCCAAATGATGACTAGCTGCCTTCCCTCTAGTCTTACACTGCTAAATTAGGGACGGCTAGCTCAGATAGCCCTCGTGTAGCTTTGCGCGAAATTCAAAACAAACAAACAGTTGCATAGGAATATGAGAATATTCTTTTATTTTAAAAATCTAATTGGATACTCTAATTACAGTAAAACATAGCAAACTCACATCGAAGTTGGCTTTCCATTTCTCTGTTTGTATCATTACTTCCAGTAGGATGGAACAAGTAATATCAGGAACTTCTAATAACCACCAAACATTTAAAACGTCTAAAGCTGAAAGACCTTATCTTGGTGCGCTCTTTTTTAATAACTAAACTATGTGATAGTAATTAATATTGCTCTAGCGATTGTACCTACGTAGAAGGAATCAACTTAACCTACTGTGAGAACATTTTCTTGATATCTTGGGCCTGAATAGGTTTAGATTTTTCTCGACGCTCCACTACAGAAAATAAGCTCAGTATGCATCTCCGTAGGTATCAGTCACAGATATATGCAATAAAGAATACTATATGACATGGTTAAATTAAGTGAAATTTTATACAATTTGTTACCTAAGCTGTGAAGTATGCGTCTGCTCAAACTTTTACTGAAAAAGTTTTAGATATATTGTGACCTATGCTGTGGTCTCTGGTTTTCAGTTACTGAAAAAGTTTTAGATATATTGTGACCTATGCTGTGGTCTCTGGTTTTCAGTTACTGAAAAAGTTTTAGATTTATTGTGACCTACGCTGTGGTCTCTGGTTTTCAGTTACTGAAAAGTTTTAGATTTATTCTGACCTATGCTGTGGTCTCTGGTTTTCAGTTACTGAAAAAGTTTTAGATTTATTGTGACCTACGCTGTGGTCTCTGGTTTTCAGTTACTGAAAAAGTTTTAGATTTATTGTGACCTACGCTGTGGTCTCTGGTTTTCAGTTACTAGAAAAAGTTTTAGATTTATTGTGACCTATGCTGTGGTCTCTGGTTTTCAAGTATTATTACAGTACACTTGCTCTCAAGAATGTCAACGATTTTATCAAAGCTAAATCAGCATTTCAAATCCCCGCCTTTCAACGAACACAAGATACAAACTTTTATGAAGAGTGGCTATACACCCAGAAAACATGTTTTGCGAGCTTCGAACAGGCACACCCTCTCTTTCTCGTAATGCCTCATGCCTCACAAGAGATATAAAATTCCAGCAGGCCTCCATGTTGAGCCTTAACATTGATCAAAAGCCCTCGTATGGAAGCAACTTAGAGACAATCGTAGAAATGCTCTTATTCATGCTTCTTATTAGAAAGTCAAATTTGGCTAATTAAAAATAATACTTTTTAAACATTTCCAATCCTATTGCTACGTTACGTCACAATTAATATACCTTAACAAAGAATATACATAGCAAGCTTCAATATTATATGCCATACAATGCAACTCTAGTGTTAACGCCGCTTCAATACCATTAAAGAAAGAAGTGTATTACGTATTATGCAATTGACTTTTTTATAAAAAAAAAAACTACATAAAGGTGACATTTTGTTTTGCACAGTAAATTCTATAGCTCGCCTTAGAGTCGTATATATTTTGAGATACAGGCACAAACATAGACATTAGTTTTGGCTCTTTTCTGAGTTTTGCTTGAGTGTCACGTAAATATCGATCGTTCAGCAAATAACTGCCACCAAATACTCAGGATAGACGTACTTATTCCTGTCGATAATTGTTGTTCTTATCTGTTGAAATATGCTTAGGGTAAAGTTAAAGTAATTATTATTTTCAGAAAAATTTTGGAATATTGAAAAATCAGCAGAAAAAAATATGTCTAATTTATGATACATGAAAGATCAGTGTATGTCATCGTCCTCATATTAACTCTTTTGACAAGAAGTAGGTCGGTTATAGCTTTCACTTCATCTGAAAAAATGAAAGCCTAAGGGAGAGGGAGATATGCCATGAAACCTGTTTCAGGATACAGGCACGTTATTTTTTAAAGGGCTGTAGGTACATATTGAATACGACGTCAAACACCAAATTTCTATCATATCTTATCTTGATGTGAAAATGCACACTGAAGTATTTGTACTAAATTAATGTTCAATATATTTTCAGAGATGAATTCATGGTCCTTGTTTAAAATAAGTTTATAATAGGAAGGTTAAACATTTGGAAAATAATATCAACAAAAAATATACAATGACAATTGTATTATTAAATGCATATATACTCGTATGGAAATCGGCACAGTTTTATTCTTAAATGTTTATATATTTCTACGACAACCTGTAGAGTAATGTTCTTAAATGTTTATATACTCGTATGACAACCTACATAGTTGTGCTCTTGAATGTTTATATGCTCTTAGGCAACTTGCACAGTTGTATTTATAAAGGCTTATATACTAATGCGACAACCGGCACAATTTTATTATTAAACATTCATAAACTTATACGACAACTAGTACAGCTGTTTTACTAATTTTTTATATACTCGTATGACAAACTGCACAATAGGATTGTAAAATGGTTATAAAGTTTTATGAAAACCCGTAGATATATATTCTTAAAAGTTTATATATTCCTATGACAACAGGCAAAGTTATATTCTTGAACGTTGGATTTTTAAACATTTAGATAGTAGTATGATAACCTGAAAAGTTGTATCATTAAACGTAGTCTTTTGAAAAAGCTTACATTTTCTTATGATAGCAACATAGTTGTATTATTAATTATTTATTCACTCGTATCACAACCAGCACAGTTGTATTGTTATATATATATACGCTAGTATGACAACCAGCACAACTGTATTATTAAATATTTATTCACTCGTATGAGAAGTTGTACAGTTTTATTATTAGCCATTTATACATTAGTATGAAACCCTGTTTATACTTTCATAATAATTTGAACATTTTTTACCTTATATTTGTGTAACCCTTTTTAAGACTTCAAGTAGTTTTTGCATTGTATTCAGCATTTAATGTGTGAAATATCAAATTGCTCAACAACTCAGGAATTTTCCATTAAGTTTTTATGGTTTATACTTCTACAGTTCGTCTTCTCATTACTCCGAGACTACTTGGTAAAAGCAATACTTCCTTTTATTAATTTCGCTTTATTTATTTTTAGTACGTGCATATTTTGAACACTCGCGTGGTGACTGGCTCAAAATGAATTTCCGTCTGAATTTAATTGGATCTTTGTGAGATTTATTAAGTCCAGACACTCAGTCAATAGCTGAACAATATGAGCAAACTTATTAATATCATCCTTTGAGTTGGCGTACATCTTCCCAGGCGATATTAGGTTTGTATGACAATTAAATCCAAAGCGGAGAGGATCTTTTTTTCTGTGGTAAACTAAGTCTGTAGATTAGGGCGTTGTTTGTTAATGCTAGAGAAGCTTTAGTGTCATTTCCGCTTCACTAAAATCAAGAAGACTTTGATGCTGATTTTCTCTGTGTTGTAAAACAGAATCAATATATATGAAAAGAGTGACGTTAATTTTGAAAAGCAATAAGACGTCGTTTCCAAAGTGTGGATACTGGTTATGCGTAATCAGTAATAAAATTCAGAGATGGAAATGAAAGGTTTATTTTGTAAGAATAGAGTGGTTTCTTATCCAGAAAGATTTTTTGATACTATAATGTAGATATTTAAGTCATATTTTAATAGGTTTTTGTGTATTGTTGTCTTATAGATTCGTAGTTTGAAGATATTTAAGTTTTCACTAGCTGAATATTTCTATTTCCAGTTTAAGTTCTGAAGTTGACATTTTAGGTATTTACTTATATTTTATCACTATGCATTTTCTGTAATAAAATACATTTTATAAAAGAGACATAACTAACAGATAATTCTGTGACAACTTCCAAAACTAAAATATATATTGTGTAAGAATAGCGTTAATATGGATACATGTAACTTACTCTTGTTTGATGGAGCAAACTACCAAATCTTCATTTATATCAGAACTATAACTCTTTTACATTCTTAAACAATCTGTATTCTTCCTAAAAAGACAAATGCTTCCCATAATTCTAAATTTATAAAATTCTATTATTCGAAAAAAGTAATGTATAGTACACCAACAACAGACATATAAAACCAGGTCATAAGCGGCAAAATGGAGTCGTTTTCAGGTGATTTTAACGTTTAATGGATTATTCATTAAAGATATAGAAATATTGTTGTCTCGCTCCTCTTTTTCTGTTTCTTATAATGAAATTTGTATTTCTTTGAATATACAGATTCTGTTGCATCATATTCTTTGTTTTTTGCATGTTGAAGTTAGCAAAATTATTTCGCTTAAAAATAAGTAGTGAAAATAATATTTTGTTTGTATTTAACATTTGAAGACGACTTAAAGTAGATCCAAGAGCTGATAATTTTATGATTGTAGACAATCTTTTAAAACTTAATGTTATTTATGTGTATAATTTAGCAATCAATAATATTTTAAATGGACTAGCTCAATACCAAAGCCGAATCACAGAAGGAAACAAAGCAATTTACTTATGTAACGTTAATAAGTTCTAATTAATTAAAAACCTCTCTCTCTCTCTCTC